CTTTACAAACCTTTTTAAAGTGTATCTCTATCCATTCCGTGATTTATAGACTGAATGATTTGAGATAAATCTTTATCATTTAATTCAAATAATAAAAAACAATTTGCATTTTTTCTAATGAACATAGAATCCATCCCGTAAAAAGATTGGGATTGGTATATGCAGTGACAGTTGTGATGTCTTCCTTTGGTGAAGAATTCTTGTTGAACAGTTTGATTTCTTTGCGCTACGCAGTCGTCAAACAATATTAAGTTCTTTCGATTGCTATCAATATTAGACAAGTCTAGATCATTAACATTTTCGTAAGAAAAACTTTTATATCCGTTGGATTGAAAGATGGATTCTTTGATTTAATGAAGTTTTCTATGATATCTTTTATTTCCACTTCTTCTTCGTTTTCTTCGTAATATTGAAATATGTCTTGAACATCTTTCTTTGGTAAATATTCCAAAGCTTTGGGGAATTGATAATACGATTGCTCTGGTGTTGTTGTGTAGATATACAGAGAATCGAAATCTAAAAGGTTTGGTGTTGTTAACATGTTCAAAGTGAGATGAGTTTTCCCAGAACCTGAACTACCGCAAATACACATGAGCATTGGGTTACTAGGAAATATGTCCGAATGTTTGAATTTCTTGCCCATTTTTATTTATTACATTTTCGTACCAAAAATCACCCCGTTGCCTTTATACTTTGAAAGGAAGATTCCCTCGCCCGAACGTATGTTTTTAAAAAATATGGCGTTGCCCTTGTGTTTGACCTTCATTTCTCCAGTGTCGATTTTATCTATTAATTTGCTTAATCCCTCTTTAACGGTTTTCTGGTTTCTTCGCCAAATCTTTGTCCGAATTCTTTAACCGTCCCTAATATATCTCCTACTCCCGAACCTCCTCGTGCTTCTCTTTCCATTGCCAAATTGTGTCTACGTGCTTCGGCGTTTGCAGCGGCTTCAGCTTTCTTATCGTTGACAGCTTTGGCTATCCCAGCAGCTCCACCAGCAGTTGCACCGGCTGCAGCTAAACCAGCAAAGATTAAAGGTAAGAAAGGTAAAAATCCACCTTTTTTAGTTAATTCTCATCAATTCT